ACCACGTAAAATTCGGTCCTTAGTTATTGCTTACTTGCAACATAAGTATTGTTTACGCAAATGAGGAGATGGAAAGCAAATATCTAGCTAGGAGCTGATACCGAGTTTATGAATACGAAAGACCAAGTTTGTAGAAAAGTTGGGAAAACATGATTTCAAACGAACGGTAAACATGGAATCCAGGATCCTGAGGTAACAAATTCAGAGTATGAATCCATTCTTGGTGATCGACTACCATGGAATTGAATCTTTTGACAGTGGATATTCCACATACGCATCGCAAATTTCATATACTGTTCGTCACTGATAACTGTTACTCGGTAACACTCAACAGAATATACAATTCAGAGGACGAATACGACGCGTTGATAACGTTTATTATCACACCACATTGATTAGAAAAACCACTGACATACTTCTCTACTACTATGGGATTTGAAGTGACAGTTGCGTCTGTGATAATATGTGATATAGCAAGCTGAACTGATGCCCACGTACATACGAAGTTCTACGTTGTTGTTGACTGTCTGACTGACTGACGTACGAAGCAAAAGAGAAATGATATTTTGAATACCGAATGAATAGGATGTACCTTATATGTATAGGAAAATAAATGAATCACTGGATTATTTCAATGACTAACATTAAAGCTAGTAGAATGAATATATATGCGTGTGCTGTCATCAATGCCCCAATCATAAATGCTCATAAAAGTGTTAAAATCGTGTAGACGAGCTGTTGCCATTTCAATGACTCTCTCTATCTGTTAAGTAAATATTACTAAGAGGTTCTAACCAATTTAAACGTAAACAAACTAGAATGTATTTTAACGTTTCTGAGCCATCGAAAAGAACGATTTGCTTATAGACATTAAAAGTCAATTGAATTGATCCTTGAAGTGTTCTGCTTATCGGTTCCAATCTCCTAGGTTGATGATTATGAATGAATGATACAGTCATTCTTTTTCAGAGATCATTTCGTTAACAAATGGATTTCTCATACCGATTACCTTGCTTGATAAGGCGGAACAATTGTCTACAATATATACCTACATATCATTGCTGCCTTTTCCATTGCTCTTGCTATTTTGTTTTCAATAGACCCTTAATACCATATTGGGAATCGAAACTGTTGAATGACAAGTAAAAAAAGGAGAAACTTTCTACAATCATAAGAATTTTTGTTACAAGAAATAAATCATTGTTAGACCACCGTTAGAAACCTGGAAGCACTGAAAAACAGCTGTTTCGTCCTATAGTATGGAACTACTACTCATCAGCCGTGCGCAGTCAGCGTAGAAGATATTCATAGGTTATAGATGTCTTCAAAGCAATACTGGTATATCCTGGGACAGCCGAGTAAGCAATACGGTCGTTAGGAAACGAGTACTAGGTAAGAATGGCAGATCAATAGATGAAGCATTGAAACTTCATCAGTTGAGGTGGTTGGGATATGTGTTACTAATGCCCAACCACCGACTGCCTCGACGAGCTATGTTTTGTGGTGTAGGAGTAGGTTGGAAGAAAGTTAAGGGCGGCCAGACCAAAACATGTCAGAAATCCATGAAGTCACTAACAAGTGGACTGAGTCATGTTGGTAGGTGTCGACTACCTAGTTGGGGTCCGTGAGACAATCGTAATCGATGGTTAGAAAGGCTGATTGACATGCCCTGGAATCGATTGGAATGGCGCAGGTGCATCCACTATTTGTGTTCCCTCAAATTATAATCTTCTGAATTCGTCAGCACCTCAACCCTTCTCCTTCTAAACTTATCTCACCGAATTATACTTCTCGAATAATATCCTCAAACCCCAATCTTCTCCATTACCAATAATACTCCTACTATCTCTACCACTATGGAATTCGAACTGACACTTGCTTCTCTGTGCTAATATGGTATGGCAACCTGAACTGATGTACGTGAGTATGTACGAAGTTCTACGTTGTAACTGACTGGCTGACCGAATCGTTCTATTTTAGGGCTGTTCAATTTGGTATAGATTGATTATGATAAGCAGTATTCCAGATCCGATCGCAATACGTGATAACCGTTCAAAATGGGCTACCTGAGCTACAAGGAAAGACTGAAATAGAAAGTCTATTTGGCTACCAAATCATATGTGCAAATATATATATATATATATATATATATATATATATATATATATGTCAGTCAGTCAGATGCAACGTAGAACTTCGTACGTAAGTACATCAGTTCATGTCGCCATACCACATCAGCACTGAGACGCCATTGTCAATTCAAATCCAATAGTAGAAGAGGTAGTAAGGGAATTAGAAGTAATCGGAGAGGTAAGGATTAGAAGATATTATTCAAGAAGTATGATTCAGTGAGAAAAGTTTAGAAAGTCAAAACTAGAGGTGTTGAAGAATCCAGAAGATTAGGATTTGAGAGAACACAGAGAATAAATGCACCGGTGCCATTGCGAACAATTTTGAGCCATGTCATCCAAGGTCTCTAACCATCAATTATTATCATCTCGCGGACCCCAACCAGGTAGTCGACAACTACCGACATGATTCAGATCACTCGTCAATGACTTTATGGATTTCTGACATGTTTTGGTTTGACCGACCCTAGCTTTCTTCCAATCTACTCGTACACTACAAAACAAAGCTCGACGAGGCAGTCGGTGGTTAGGCATACGTAACACATGTCCCAACCACCTCAACTGATGAAGTTTCACCACTTCATCTATTGATCTGCCATGTTTAACTAGTACTCGTTTCCTAATAACAGCGCTGCTTACTCGGTTGTCCCAGGATACACGAGCGATGCTTCGAAGACACCTATGATCGAAAACTAGTAACCGACGGATATCTTCTACTCTCACTGGCCATGTTTCACAGCCATATAGATAGACGGAGCGAACCACTGCACAGTAGACTCGTCCTTTAGTCAGCAAACGGATATCTCGCCTACGTCATAAGTGACGCAAGTTGAAAAAACCAATCGAGCCTTCTGTATCCGAGCTGAGATTTCGTCAGTCACCAGGCCATCAGAACTGATGAGACTCCCCAGATACGTGAAGCGGTCTACGGGTTCTACTATTCCATTCCCTATAAGTGGTTCAGGTGCCGATGCAACCCAATCTTAAAGCAACATTGTGCTTTTCGAGGGTGAGAACCGCATCCCGAACATGCTTGCATTGTTGCTTAGAGTGGTCAGAAGACTCTGCATTTTGTCAGCGTCTTCACCAAGTAGGACTATGCCATCAGCGTATTCTAAGTCAATAAGCGAGCCAGCAGGTAAACGGTCTACTCCGGAAAATTCAGACGAGGATAAGGTTATTTCTAGGAGCATGTCTATGACAAAATTAAACAAGAATGGAGAAAGTGGACATCTCTGACGAACACCGCTTGAAGTAAAGAATTCCGTTGACAGTTCGCCATAAGCTCTCACTCGACCAGTGGTGTTCGAGTAGAGAGCTTGTATGAGGTTAATGTACTTCTTTGGTACACCTTTCAATATATATTCCACCTAAAATAAGTGAAGCCATTTCTAGACTAATGATATGTATTCTCCCTGTTAGACATTTTCTGATGATCATCGGACTTTATTTGGTCACTTTTGATTAACTTAATTATATCAAGGGTTAAAATAGGTTTTCTTTCAAATAAATATAAGTATTCTTGAATTGTTCATGTGAAAATAGTTTTAGTACAATCTCATATCTTTGAGTTTTAATTTGAATTATAAAACTTATTTGTAAACTTTATCAATAATCCATAT